GGTGTCACACTTGACCTCTTTGCCTATTTGTGGTTTCCCCGGCAGAGTCGGGAAGATGGCCAACGGCTAGAGCCGTTTTGTTGATGTTGTATTTATATAGAAGAAGCTCGTGGGTGAGATCACTCTTCAATACGACCAACAAGGGTAACTCTCGAACGGAGAAATCACAGATCTGACAGCAGCCACACGGAGGTCAGTTAGAGCTCAGAAACTCAGCCACAATCAGTCCGATGTAAATCTATACGGCGCTGAAAACACTAACATGTGTCGGTTCTGTATTAACGTTTAGAGGAAGAAAAAATACACCGTTTTTGAACCCCCACAACTCTCAGCTGCATGTTGTAATGTCCCTGTCAAACACCAAGGACACCCAGGCTCCGACTGGCTTTACATTACCAAACACCAGCGCTGTGGACATCCCCCTCCCTCCCCTGTGATTTACTGGTGATTACACTGTTTGAAAGGCAGATGTTTGTGCTCTGGCTAATCTAAACGGAGGAACTCGCTATTTCAGCGTATATAGAAAGTGTATGTTTGGAGCAGCACTGATAGAAAACAGCCACGACTACACGCTCAGAACCAGGAATTTGAAACATGAGTTCAAGGGTTTAAGGAGAAAATAAAAACTGATTTAATTTGTTCGTTTGTACAGTGATAATAAAGTTGCAGACAAACTGTCTTTTTTTGTTCTTTTAACTCTGTAAATAAACAATGTTTTTGCTTTAAAGTCTCAGCAGGCTTTAAAATTAAACGCTAACGCTACCTTCCACTAGATACGTGACCTAGTGTGCTAATTAGGCGGTGACGGCTAACTGAGCAGACACTTTCGTTAGCTAACACGCCGACACAGACGGACTCACATTACAGCCACAAAACAAACAGAGAAGTGATGAAGTTTAAGAGACAAAACCAGCTGTTCACCAAGGACGGCCAACATGGCTGCCAGACCACATCCAAAACCATCAACAGAGATCCAGCCTCCATCCAGTTCAAGTGTCTGGCCTGTTAGAGACGTTGAGGCTTACCACATTAATTCAGTTTTATTGCACTAAAGGCAGAAATATTTATGGAGCTTGAAAAGAGAAGATGGAGTGACGGCTTTTGAAGGCATGAAACTATATAAAAGAACAATTATCTATTTAAATTTCTCTCTAATCAGACTGAATTAGTGAAATGCACCAGCCGGACCTCCTGTCCTCTCGTTAGCATGTTCTGGCTGCAACTCTATCTTCTCATTCAGCCTCACGGAAGAAGCCAAATCTCTGCTGACTGAAAGTTGTGGTTTAACGGCGAGCACCTCTGGGGTTTCAGTAAAATCTGATAACGTCAGTCGCCACAGAAAACAAGCAGAATGAATTACAGTCTGCTGTTAAGGCTGCGAGGGGCCGGACCTCAAAACCTCTCGGATACAGTAACAGTGGACAGGAATGACTTCATGGGGCCCGTCAGGTCCTCGGTGCCAGAAGAACCAGCTGGGTTTGAACATGTCTGTAGCTGTTAATGAAACTGAACTGCTCCATACAGACTCTTTTTTTTGAGGATTGCAGTTGAAGTTTTTGCTTCCAACGATGATTTAAAGTTGAACGAGCTGCACAATCGTAGCAACTACAACAAAACACATAGACACTACCTTGCACACAGCGGAGGTTTTAAGGATTGGTGCCTGTTTTAGGACTCAAGGTCTCACGAGTGTAACGCACATTTCTATATCTCCAACCTTGAGGATCGGACAAGGGCGGTCGACTCAGTCCCTCTTTGATCTACATCGACTAAAAGTTCTCCTGTCTCAAACCCTTCCCTGCTTTCTACTCTCATCCTCTTTAAGCACCAAGTGTGAAAAAGAGCCATAGTGGCGGCCAGGGGCAGTCGTTGCCACCCCAACCCCAGTTTGGTGTCAAAAACTGTAAAATGTACCTGTGACGACCCTCTGAGCAGGTCTTAGAGTCTGCTGGGCGGAGTCGGGTCATCAGCAAGATTAAGTTCAGCTGGTCTGGTGGCAAGACTTTATAGGCTGGAGGCAATCAGCTGGTCTCTCTTTCTCCTTTGGCCCTGTTTGGTTGAATTTAGTTTGTCTTTAGCCTCATTTCTATTTTAATTATATTAAATAAACTTATTTTTAGTTACAATTCATGCGTGTTCTCCCCTTCTTTGTCCAGCCTTGAGCCGGGTTGTGACAGTAACACCTTTATTTTATTTATTTTTGTACGAGCGATAAAGTTGTGTTTCTGTATAGTAAATCAGTGGGGTCCGTTTATTTCAAAATCTATACATTTTATGTAGTTTGATTTTTTAAATAATTACTGTTTTGATCCTCCAAGATGATTAAAAGAGAAATATATCTGATAAAATAAAAGATACACTCGTGTTGAAGGCCTGAAGGTGGATACGGAGAATTTGTCTGTCTGAAAGTTGGAAAAGTTGCGTTTCATTTGTTTAGTTTGGATTAATTAAGTTTAAACCCTAAGAACCTGCTATAAACTGCATTTACATGGTTAAAATATTTTATTTGTTCCTCCTGTATATGATCAGACGGCATTCTGACTTTGTTTGTTGTTGGTCTGAAGATTTTCGGTTTGTTTGCCTCTTTCGTCAAATCTCCCATAAAAATGAGGAATGCTAAGCTAACGTTTAAAGGGAAAACTAAAGATCAAAACTTAGACACTTTTCCCTAAAAGCGAGAAAAAGGAATGAGAATCTAAAGTCAGGCTGACGGGTATCTGCAGGAAATTCCTCATTATGGATCAAGAAAGCAGGAACATCCTGGAGCTAATGTTGTTATTACTTGAGGACCCAGCGTGACCCAAACAGAACCTTACAGAACCACAAATCCACAGTTTTCATACAAAAGTACTCAGTGAAAATGGCTCGCTAACCACCAACATCAGCTTCAGTTACAAATTAAACTGTTAGCTCTTAAAAAACTCACAAAGGTCACCACAGAGGTCAAAACTGGAGGAGGTTCGTCCCTCCCTGGCGAGATTAAAGCACAAAAGAAGAAGAAAAGTAACATCCAAGTGTCTAAAGTGACGTTTGAATTAAACACGGGAGGTTTTATGGTTGAGTTCAAGTGCTGAAAGTGTGTTTAGTTTCACAGTGAAAGCTGGAGAGACTGAAAGAGAAACCAAACAGATGTCACACGACCAAACTGCTGTTACTCATCATGTGACAGGTGGAGGGGATCATGAGATACCTGGCACAGGTTCAGCGTCTGGCTCAAAGACACTTCCGCAGTAGGTCCGGAAAGTCTGCTGATCCTGAAGGAGAGAAAGACGATATTAACCATTAATAACACAACTACCACTGTTACTGTAATTAAAACTACAGTTGTTACCACTCTTACCTCTACTGTACAACCTATTAATACTACTAACCTTTGTGTTACGCTGAGATACTAGCTAACGTTGATAAATATGGCACAATTTAACTGGGAGTATTTTATAGTATTAGGGTTTTTTAATCATCACTTTGTATTAGATTATTAGATTATTTCCTGTTTATCTGACAAAGATTGATGAAGAAACACTGATAATCTACAAATATTCTGAAGTACGAGTGTAAAAAAAGAGCCACAGTGACTTAACGTTAAAAAAAACTAAACTGCAAATAGCCTAATTTCGATTCCGCATTGGTTTTAGTGTCTTTAAGTATTTTTATAACCACCAGTGTCTTAAATAACCATTATCAACATTAGCTATTTACACACTAAACTGTGAATCAGTGATTTTCCATCGCACTTTGTATTTTCTAGTAGTTTTTGTAGTGATCATCGGTACCAGACGTGTATACAGAACCAAATTTCCACCCAGAGAGCTCATAAACAGGAAACAATACAGCACTTATCAGCCGACTGTGACTCTCGCCAGCAACCGTGTTTACATTAGTACATTTAACAGACTCAACATTTGGTTTGTGCAGTTTACAGTCAGCATGAGAACCACCATCACACCTGCTCCGAGGCGATATATATAAATACAGGAAAATGAGCTTCACTTCCAAATACCTCATATTTGTAGTCTAATCAAACTCCATGAGGTGTAATGTGAACTCACTCTGTTGGTTTCATTGCATCAATATTGGAAGAAGAAAGCCCCGAAGGTGGATTACTAGCACCTGGTGTTGTGGTCATTATAATTAATTAAAACATTTGATTGGAAATATTCAGGCCTACAACACAAAACCAACCGGCATGATCAGTCTCATCTGTCTCATTGGTCTCATCTGTGTGTTAAGTTGGGAGCCAAAGACGTATATTTAACAGCCAAAAACAACTTTATCACTGTAAAAAACAACTTTATCACTGTAAGAAAAACACCTTTCTCACTGTCAAACAAACAAATTTTGACCTGTAAAAAACAACTTTATCAGTAATTTTGGGGCTGCAGCTATAGCTACTGTGCGCGCAACCCAACCAGACCTCCGAGACCGACAGAGGACAGTTTAACGACAGCGGTACCGAGGTGATTTACATTTGCTGAATCAGCCCTGGGGTTGCCAGGAGCTAAACAATAACACCAAAACTATCCTCGGTGGGCTTCAGATGACCCCCGGCCCCGTCTGGCCCTTCAGTGAGAGAAAGCAAGCAGCTGTCTGCTTCCTGCAGGTTGTTAAAAGTCTTTCTGTACAGAGGAATTAAGGTCAGCTGAGGGAGGCAGAGGCAGAATCAGGTCTCTAAAGTAGTTCATGAATCTCCAGAGTGAGAGTCTGAGGGGAGTGACCTGCATCCTGAAATCCTAATCTGATCATCTGATTGGTTCCTGCCGTCTAGAAACATCTAGAAACGTAAACTCTGACCAAAAAAGGCTTTTCTGTCTGTGTCTGTATTGCACACACTGCTGATCTATGGTACACAGAGCGGGAAACTAACGTAAGCACCTCATAAAGAAGGATTTATATCGTGAAATAACCTCGTCACAGTTAAGCCGTGTTCACATTATCACAGAGAATTGATCTCTTCTGTATGTATGGTATGTATGCCCCGAACCTTTACATCTGTATTGCCCCGAACCTTCACATCTGTACTGCCCCAAACCTTCACATCTGTAAATCCCACGAGCTGAATGTTTATCTGTCTTTGTGAAAAAATTCAAGTCATTTTCAGTGGCTTAATTTTGTAATATTTATTATTTACTGTGAAAACAAAATACTTAATGTTTCTGTAAGACACAAAACTAAGTCACTTAAAATAACTAATAAAAGCTGCTTGAGAATCTTTTTAGAATCGTTTGTGTTTTGTATTTTTTTTGTTAAAAATAATTGATCATGTTACAGTCTATGTACAACAGACACTTTAAGACTGTGAATTAACATTATGGGTATATCGTAGAGCATTCTTCCAAATAGTTCCTGTTTGAAGCCAAGATTTAGTGTTTTTGAACCATTCATCTGACCTCTGCCCACTATCTTATCATCACATTTCAGCTCTTAACTGATCAGGTATGAATGAATGAATGTGAATGAAATAAGCCCAATAGAAGAGAAACCGGTGAGAGAACCAGAGCTAGTTGGGTGGAAAAGGGGTCCTCCTGTTCCAACTTCCACTTCTCTTCCTAATAGTTCCTGTTTGGAGCCACAGTTTGCTGTGTTTTTGAACCATTCAACTGACCTCCGCCCACTAGCTTACCGTCACATTTTAGCTTCTAACTAATCACCGATGTTTGTGTGCACTACAAAACATTACAGAAAATGCTAAACTTATTTAAATTACATTTCAGCAATCTCAAATTTAAGTATTTGTATTAAAAATGTCGTATTTTAATAATATTACATGTTTTTGAACCAGGCAGCTGGGGAAGGAGGCTGCAAGGACTTTAGACCAGCGGTTCCAACCTTTTCTATCATTATTAAACCGACTCAGTGACATATTTTATGGATGTTTCATATTATCTTAAAAACTGTACAATGAACCCAAACAATGAACTCAGTAATCGGAATTTGTGTAAAACCAAGATTTGGATGAATTCTGAGCAGATTATTTCCTGTTTAGGGAACTTTTTTCTGTATTTTATTGTCTCTGATGCTGGGCCAACTTTTTATTTTTTTCACAGAAGTGAATCAAATGCTGAGTTAAAGGCCTACTGTGTATATATGTTAAGTTGTCTAGTACGCCTTAAAATCAAGAATGTCTTGGGACCCCAAATGAAGCTCTAGTGGGGGTCCTGTCACTCAGGTTGTGAGCCACTCCTTCAGACAGTCAATAAATAATCCAATTAATTTAGCAGACTATAACTTGGGACCCAGAACTCTCTGGAGGGCAGTATTGATCCTAAATTGATGGTGAAATAAAGTTGAATCACTGCATTAAGATGAAATCCCCTCTGAGTAGCACAGACATATCTTAAGCCTCTAGAGGATTATGTAATGAACTCTGTGTTTAAGTTGAATCAGAAACAGATGAAGGTGGTGGATGTGTGTCAGTGTACAGTGAGGTCCCTGAAGGCAGTGGTAGATGTTTCACTTACATTAAGCAGAGCTGCCTGATGTGCGGAAGTTCAATGGTGACAAAAACACTGAGTTAAAAAAGTTAGAAAATCAGATTTTGTGCATGTTTAAATGTTCAGACAGTTAAAGTGAATCTATCACTGTGAAACACGATGTCAGACACTTTCTGAGAAACTATGCTTTTTTTGTTCTTAAACTCACTATTTGTCAATATGTTTCTAAAACTTTGTGTTAAATACTGTAAAGAAAGTCAGAAAAACCTGATTTTAAAACAGAATAATAAAGTTTTTGCATAGTTTTTGACATATTATGTGTGAAACAATTCAAAAAAGTTTGCTTCTGAGGCTCAAGCCCCGAATGTTTTGTCAAAAGCGCAAAGTCTTTTAGGTTTTAAAATAACTTCCCTTCAGTCTCAGAAAAAAACACTGAATTTGTGAATAAAAGAAGCTTATTAAGTCTGTATGGTTGTTAAAAATTAAAAAAAAATCCATAATACAGATAAAGAATTGTATAAAAGGTAAACTAAACAGGAATTAATCTCCTCAAAATTCATCCAATTCAGTTGTTTTACACAAACTTCCTGCAGTTACGGATTTCACTGTTTAGGTTAATTTTGCAGTTTTGAGTTTAATATGAATTATCCATAAAATATGTCACTGAGTCAGTTTTTTAATGATAGAAAAGGGGTCTAATAAGCAGCAGCTTTTAACTACTTTATTAACTCCTTACATGATGTAAAATGAAAAAATTAAAGCAATACAGGCAGTATATTAACTGTATGTATTGCTTTAAACATTTTTTTATACAAAGAAATAAATAACGTATAACATTTGCTGAATTTACAATAAAGCCTAAATAATCAATAATTTGCAGACAGCGCTTTACAAAGTCCAGAAAGTTTAATTTAACTCAATGACTCACATAATTGCGTGAATTGAGGAATTCTGGGGACTTTCTCTGAGAAGTAAATTACTTTTTACTGTATCTGAAAAATTTGTCATGTTTACCGTCAATAAAATGTTTTTGTTTGTTTTAACTTTAAACTTAAAAGTTGCCAAAATGATTAAAAGCACATTATAGCCTAAAGTATAAGTAAGTTAGATTACTTTTATAACTAATATAACTTTTTTTCCTTTTTTTTAACTACTTCATTAACTTACTGGATGTAAACTGACTCGCAGAAATTGTTCTGCACTGTTGAATCCGCAAAGTTTCTCAAACAGAATCAGTTTGTTTCGTCATTAATGAACTTCCGTACTTTCTTGCTCAGACTTTTTACTGTCAGAAATATTTCTCAGCAGGATTTATCAAGAGACACAGAAACTGAAACAGCTTAAAAAGGAAAAAGGACAGCTCAGCTTTAAAGGGGGTCACCATGTGTTTTACATTACATTTACATTTTTCACATCTGTGAGGAGTCTTCAGGCAACAATAATATTGAGAATATGAAAAAGATTTGAAACAGAGAGAACAAGGATGAGAAACGTCAAATAAATTCTTGTTCATGCCCTCTTATTCTTAACGGAGCAGTCTGGTGTTTTTTCAGTGTGTTCATTCACAGACTGAATAAAACGCTGCTATGAGGTAGAAAGAAGTGCAATAATGTAAGATATAGTGTAATGATCTGTAAAACGCACACATTTTTGTACCTTAAAAGGACAAATCTTTGGTTAAGAGTCTTGCTTTTACTCCCTAAACCTCCTTTACATATGGAATATAATAGAAGATAAGACCTTGAGGACAACTGAATTTGATCCAAAATTTAACATTTTCTTACATTAATGACCTCAGATTGAACTAAAAAGTGTATTTTAAACACTAGAATCATTTGTGACAAAAAAGTGCAGTAATGTAAGCTTCTGTTGAATCCATAACAGAACAGTTACAGCTTGAATTTGTTTTGTTATTAACAAACTTCTAACGTATAACATTTGCTGAATTTACAACAAAGCCCAAATAATTGAGAATTTGTCGCAGACAGTGCTTCATAAGTCCATAAAGTTGAATCAAACTCAAATCCTCACAAAATTGTGGGATTTTTAAAGGGAGTCTGGGGAATTTCTCCACTCTCCAAGTTTATTAAAATCTCTGTCTATAAAATGTCATCTTTCATAAAAAAACACCTATACATGTTGGCAGGTATATGTGCATGTTTGATCCTCCGTAAGTCGTGTGAGCATTCACATGAACTCACATCACTGAGTTCAGACTTGGTGATGTGCATTCATGTATAACATGAAACATTGATCCATTTAAAGACAGCAGGAAATGCCATCTAAATCTCCAATACTGTCAGAAACATCATTCTTTATGAAACAGTCTCAATAATGTTTCTTCAGATTAATAAATCCAAAGAAGAAAGAAGAAAGAGCAGAATGCAGGAAAAGTGAATAATAGTTGCAGAAAATCATTAATTTCCACTTTCCAGACATTTTACAACCAAAACACAAAAAATAATGCTTAAATATTTATGAACTGATTATGCAAAACAGCATATTGCACAAAATTCTGTACCTTAAAAGGACAACTCTTGTATTAAGAGTCATGCTTTCACTCCCTCACCCACCTTACATATTGAATATAATGGAAGATATTGCATTAAAAACTGACTACACAACTGAATTTGATCCAAAATGTAAGCTGAAGGAGAGTCAGCTGCACAGTCACTTTCTCTCTAACAGCTGTATGTTTTCATGCACAGGAGTAAGGAGTCACTTACAGATCTGCTGCTCTGCGTCCGCGCCCTCTGCACGCAAAGTACGGGAGTCTTACGGCCATGTAGGGAGGTGCAGGCTTGTTTCAGCAGGAAACGCCTCCCAACCGTCAGCTCCTCCCACTCATCTGCTGCAGGAGTCTCCCAGCACCCAGTAACAGTTACAGGTTTTATGAATCACCTGTGGCTCCCAACAGGAATAAATCTGTTATAAAATATTTCAGAAACAAACTCATAAACATTTGTGTTTGTATTTAAAATCTGTTCCATCAAAAGTTCTAAAAATCTAAATAATGTGGGTTCAAAGCATCTCAACTTGCCCTGTGAGTCCAGTGCTGACACAGAGTGGAGAGTTAAGCTGCTCATTGGCTCTGTTAGCTCTGTTAGCTCTGTTAGCACTGTTAGCACTGACTACCAGCTCGTTGTCTCTGCTGACCCTGCTGTGGTCAGTCAGCGTTCGAAAGGCAGCAGATATGTCGGCCTGAATGAATGAACAGGTTGGGTGTGAAAACACTTTAATGTGTTTTAATACTACATTTAGCTTTTATCAATATCAGCTGAGAGATCTCCTAAACTACAGCCTGAGCCCGGTGTACTGTAGGTGGACCAGGCAGTCGATTGAAGCCGCACCCTTTACTGGAGCCCCCATCTTTTCCTTTGGGCCCGACACAGGAAGCTGGTCTGAGGTAGGTTGTAGATAACAGACTGTAACACTGTCCAGATACAAACCCTTACAGCTCAATCCAGCTGCAAGATTTCATTGTAGTAACTTATATATAAGATTTTAATGTGCAATAAATAAGCATTTTTATGTATTAATAATTTATTATAAAATAATTTATTGCCAATGAGGTGAACGGGCTGCAAATTAACAAATGAGACATTCCCCGCCTTTCTGTTTCCTGTGGACGGATTTATCTGACTGCCTTCTCTCTCCGCTTCCCTACAGAGCCAACAGCGAGCAACACTAGCAACCGACACCTACCAACACAAAGTCTATTCTCTATATAAAGACAGAGTCACATGGTGGTCTCTCTCCCTCTGCCTGTGTTGTATCGCTATGATATTTTCTATCAAATATGCTTCAAAGCAGATGTTTGAGCTGGGAACAGTCTGTGTGTGGAGTCTATATGTTTATTTTGGCCAATGAGAACAGATGTTGCAGTTGATTTCTGGAGAATTTGTGTGTTCAAGTATTTGGTCACAGAGGACGAGAGGGAGGGGCAGCTGAATGTGTTGTTATCACATCATTGTGTGTGTGTCTGTGTCTGTGTGTGTGTCTGTGTGTCTGTGTGTGTGTGTGTGTTATAACAGAACACCTGACAGATTT